AGGACTTCCTATAAGTATTATATTGAATATGAGAGGTGAAAGTGGACATCCCTGTCCTGTTCCTGATCTTAAGAAGAATGCTTGTAATTTTTGCCCATTGAGTAGGATGCTGGCGGTGGGTTTCTGTTACATGGCCTTTATTATGTTTAGGTATTTTTCCTCTCTTCCCACTTTACTGAGAGTGTTTATCATAAATGGGTGCTGGATTTTATCAAATGCTTTTTCTGCATCTACTGATATGATCATGCGGTCTTTAGCCTTCATTTTGTTTATGTGGTGAATCACATTTATTGATTGGCGAATGTTGTACCAACCTTGCAATTCTGGAATAAATCCCACTTGATCATGGTGTATGATCTTTTTGATGCATTGCTGTATTCGGTTTGCTAATATTTTGTTGAGGATTTTATTACCTATGTTCATCAGAGATATTGGCCTATAGTTTTCATTCTTCGTAGTGCCTTTCTCCCTGGTGAAATGAGTTTGGGAGCCCCCCCTCCTCTTGAGTTTTATGAGTTCTAACGGTTTTTTAGTTGGAGTGCTTGGGGTTTTCCGAACATCAGATCATGTCGTCTCCAAACAGAGATCATTTTACTTCTTCTTGATCTGAATACTATTTCTTTCCTTGCCTATCTGCTCCCTCTGGTACTTCTAATGTTAAGTCGAATAGAACTGGTAAGAGTGGCCATCCTTGTCTTATTCCTGATCTTAAAGGAAAGGCATTTAACTTTTCACCATTAAGTATGAGGTGGGTTTGTCAGATTCGGTCTTTAGTGTGTTGAGAGGAGCATTCCTTCTGGACCCAGTTTGTGGAGCACTTTCACCATGAAAGGATGTTGTGTTTTGTCAGATGCTTTTTCTCGTCTGTTGAGGTGCCCGTATGCGTTCTATTCTTCGTTCTGTTGCTGTGCTACGCAGCACATGAGTTGATTTGCAGATGTTGGGCCCTCCTTGTATCCCAGGGGTAAATCCCTCTTGATCATGGTGAGCGGTCCTTTCAATGTGCGGTTAAACTCTGTTCGCTGATATTTGGTTGAGAATTGTACACTCACGTTTCTCAGGGATGTTGGTCTGTAGTTTCCTGGCGGTGTCTCGCTGTGCGGCCTTGGTGTCGGCGAGTGCTGCCCTGGTGAAATGAGTTTGGGGGTGTTGCCGCCTCTCGGATTTTTTTGGCAGAGTTGGAAAAGGATTGGTGTTAATTCTTTAAATGTTTGGTAGAAATCACCAGTAAAACCATCTTTTTCTATTTGGTTTTTAAAATAGAAAAGTATGAAGATAACACAGATGCCCCGTAATTCCACTCACTGGATAACCTTTCTGGTCCACTTAAGACTAGATCAAGTGTACGAGGGGAAAGAACAAACTGCAAGGAAAAGTGTGACGAAGCTTCCTTCCTCTTCCTCAGCTGCCTGTCTCCCAAAATCTCTCCCTGCACGGGCAGCGTGCAGGCTGTTTCACTGAGGAAGTAACTCGGGCGCCCGACCACGCACAAGTGGGTGTGTCCTGTGAAGTGGTTGCTGCCACCTCAGACCTCAGTTAGACTCTTCGAAAGATGCGTTGTTAATCTTTTGGTGGGAACATTTCTAGTAGTTCTGTGCCTTAGTGAGGGCCATGCCGGCCCAGCTCCCGTTGCAGCTGCAGCCAGTGCCCGAGTTCTCCCGGCCCCTGCCCCACTTGCTGCCCACCGCCCACCCTCCCCCCCAGGTCCGGAAGAGACTGCAGAGCAGCGTGGAGGTGGGGGAGGGTTGGAGGTAGACAGCCGTGGTTGGGCGTCCCTTCCAGGTGGGCAGGGAGAAACCACACCCAGGCCCGCAGCGCCCATCCCCCATCTAGCGCTGCTCAGCGGCCTGGCTGGACAGGCAGAAGGTGCCCAGGGAGGACCCTGAGGTCAGAGCTGCAGCTTATACTGCTATTTTTATATTTGAAATGTGTCGGGTGTTTAGTTTGAGGAGTTCTCTCCTGAGCCCTGCTTGCAGCGAACACCTGCGTGAATCCTCGGGCTGCCACGTTGTTTTACGTGCCTCGTAGCGTCCTCACTGTCCTTCCCCTGTCATCCCACAGCCGCCAGTGCGGGCCTGCAGACTCGATGTTTGCCTGTTCTTTCTTGCTTTTTACTTACCTGAAAACCCACCGTAGACAACTTTCCGTTTTCAGGACGGGTAGATACTGCTTAGCTTTTTCTCACAGCCTTGCCCGGATTCGGTCCTGGGCACCCTATAGGCGGACCCTGTCGCTCATGCATTAAGGGGCACTGTGTGCACAGCCTTTCACCACCACGGGTGTCTCTGGTGCTCGCGCACCGCGTTCCTTTACACTTTCCTCAGAAATTTGAGATCTGACTGGCACTTTCGGGTGAGCGGCTGTTAGAGGTAAGGAGAGTCCCATACCTGGCAGCCGGGGCCACTGTGCCTGGCCCAGTGGGTGTCCACAGGCAGCAGTGGTAGCCGAGGGTCACAGGAAGATAGCTTGTTCAAGCTCAGGACGAGTCCTGGTGAGACAGCCACATGGCCTGCAGGAACGCCAGCTAACCAGGCCTTTAGAGATGTAAAAAGGGACCCATTCCAGGTTTGGGAATTCTTTTCCTTATCTTTTAATTGATTCTAAAGAGAAGGGAAGGGAGGGAGGAGGGGAGAGGAACATTGATGTGAGCAACAAATGTTGCACGTGCCGCCCCCCCCCAGGGTCCGAACCCGCTACCCAGGCACGTGCCCTGACTGGTAATTAGACCTGCAACCTTTTGGTTTGCAGTGTGACGCCCAGCCAATTGAGCCACACCAGCTAGGGCGGGAATTCTAAGTATTTAAAAAATATCTGTTTTCCCCAAAGACGGTGGTAAATGTGATGCAGACTGAATCAAAACCACAGTATGCAGCCTTAAGGTGCCTGCCCTGCAATGGCCACCAGGTGGCAGTCGTGTGCATTTCAAAGCTGTCCTCAGACTTTATTTTCTTATTTATTTAACTGGAGAGAGAAACATGACCGTCACTAACACTGGCTGGGATGGGGAGGTCAGAGTGGGCGGTGGACTTTGTCGTCCCTTCACTCCTGACTACTTTCTGTTGTGTTTTCTAATGACCGTGTGCTATTTCTGTGATTTAGAGTAAGTTCGTTTTGGATGCCCGTGGGAGAGAGGTGCTAGTTGGGGCAAACGGCAGAGACCAGCTCCCTTCTGTTCATCCAGCCACCGGGTGCTGACCCTGCAGTGACTGCCCATCAGGGGTCAAGGCCAAGACGGCAGAGCCTGGGCGAGTGGCTGGTGCAGGGCAGAGTGTGCTTGTGTGCAGAGGCCTGCACGGCCTGTGGCGGGGTAGACGGGTTAAAACGCCGAGCTGTAGGTTCCGGCAGCCCGGGGCCTCTGCACTGGCTGTTCCCCGGACCAGGAGTGCTGTTCCCCCCACTCTGCCTGGCCACTCTCAGGGGCCCATCTGAGGGAGATCCCGTAACGCCCCCCATGAGCCAGCATCCCGGCTGTCTGGGCTCCTGCCATCTTCATAGCTTTGTCCTTCTCTTCATTCTTTCTCACGTGACACTCTGCCCTGCTTGTCTGCCCCTCCCCGGAGGAGCTGGGGACCTTGCTTGGCTCCTGCTGAGCCTCTGGCCCCTGGCGCAGTGCCGGGCCGCGGCAGGCGCTCCAGCGTCTGTAATGAACAGTGCACACCGTGAGCAGTGCGCGCTGTCGAAAGCAGTGCAGGGGTCAGGCAGGACCTGACGTTGAGTGACAGCAAGTAGCGGGGCCCCCAGAAGTGGCCAGAGTGTGCCCAGGAGTGTGGCCCCGGACGGGCAGGCTGTTGGAGAGCCATCCACCAGGTTAACGTCTTGTCACCTGTTGTTTTTTTCACTGTGAGTGCATGTGATTTTTAAACGGAAAGATGCTGCCCCGCAGTCAGGGCCAGGCCCACACATGTCCTTGCCCCCCACAGCCCAGGAGCCCCTTTCTGTGTGCACGGGACAGGCTGAGGAGGAAACGGCCTGGCAGTGCATCGGGGGCCCAGTCAGGAGCTGGGTGACGTTCCCGTCCCTGTGGACGGTGGCCGAGGGTTTCCTAGGCAACCTGGAAGGGTGCTGGTGACCCGATGAAGCCTAGAGGATTCTGTGGGCACAGGGGTCCTCCCACGGCTGTTGGTGAGGATGGTGGTAGTTGTCTGCCCCCACCACCCCCTTGCAGAGGCCAGTTCCTGGGTCAGCCTGTGGCCAGGGGATTGGATGTGTCGACTGCATGCTTGGGAACTGCTTCCCCCTGCTCCAGAGGGGCCCCGCCTGCCGCCCCGTGGCCCTCACACTGGCCCTTCCTGTGCGCCACCGCCTGCCTAGCTGGTGTCCTGGGCTAAGACCCTCAGCACCTCATTCACACCCTGCCGGCCTGGGTGGTCCCATCTCTGCCGGCCTGAGCAAGGTGGTAGCTTATGTTACTGTCTTCAGCAAAGGTTGACTTTGTGAAGTTAAGCTAAGGGTGGGTTGAAAGTTCGAGCTGAGACCATAAAGCTAGAACGTTGGTGGCTTTATTCCTGACCTTCATTACTTTTACACCAGTATCAGCAGGAAACTCCAGGAGGCTCATACTGCCCTTCCCTAATGACCTGACTGCGTCACGACCGCACACTAGGGACGTTTACTGACAGCTCTTGTTGTCCTGAGCGCTGACTGCCAGGGTGGGGTGGGCACTGCTGAGATGAGCTGTCCAGATGCTGACAGTCAATTTTAAGCACCTTCAATGGCACGACTCCCTGTCTCTCTTGGTGGGTGAGCCTTCCTGAGAGGAACCTCTAGCCCTGTCCTTCCCTGTCACCGTCCCTGCAATCCCTGAGACCCGTGTGTGCAGCACTGTGGCAGGGAGGGCGGTCCTGAGCTCAGAGTGCCTGTGCTGCACGGGGGTCCTGGGCGCTGGCACTGTGGGGGGGTCCTGGGCGCTGGCACTGTGGGGGGGTCCTGGGCGCTGGCACTGTGGGGGGGGGTCTGTGCTGCGGGTCAGCCATGGCAGCGGCCCCTGCTGTGCCCGGCAGGCATGAAGACCAAGCATGCGCTGCGCCACCACATGAAGCTGCACAAGGGCATCAAGGAGTACGAGTGCAAGGAGTGCCACCGCAAGTTCGCGCAGAAGGTCAACATGCTCAAGCACTACAAGCGGCACACGGGTGAGTCCTGGCCGGAGTGCAAGCACACGGCTAGTGCACAGCAACCGCTGTGCCTCTTGGTGGAACGACCCCGACAAGAACACCTCACGGCTTCTCACTTTCTTTAGCTCCCATTAAACCCAGGTTCCAGTGAGCTCAGAGCTCCAGGAGGCGGCTGGGTAAGCAGCTGGCGTCAGGGAAACTTCCAGTCCCCACTGGCACCGTCACTTGTGTCATTGCGTGTGTGCACTAGAGTAGGCCGCTGCCTACTCGCCAGTGCAAGTTTGGCGACACCTGCCAGTTCTGCAGGGCCCTTGCCCCTCTCAGCCGTTGCTCTGCGGGAATGTGTGCCCGGAAGTGATCACACAGGGGTCCAGAGGTGTAAACAAACTGATTTCAGATCCTGGGACGTCTTAAGTGTCTATCATTAGGGCAATGGCTAAAAAAGAATGCATCCGCTAAAAGTGATGAGATGCTGTTAGTCTGCATAGAGTTCATGGTACAACAGGCTGCATTGAAAAGCAGCCTGTGCAACATCAAATACGCGCCCATTGTTTATAAAACACTCACACATGGGTAATTTTGTACGTAAGAGGGAGTTGAGATAGACGTGAGAACAGAAGGAGGCTTACCTGCCTGGGGACTTCCCGGAGTGACATTTCTGGTGGGAGCCTTTCTGCCTTGGTTCCGTGTGCTCACCAACTGGGATCATCGGCCCAGACTGAGGGCCAATGGGAGCTCTGGGATCTAGGTCGGAGCTGATAGGCACCTAACAGTACCCACCTGAGTTCCACAAACGTGGCGTCTGCCTTCCCTTGTCGTGAGCTAGTGCAGAATGAAGCTCCCTGCCTCGGGTCCTGCTCATTCAGAGTGTCTGACATTCGGTGGGGGCCTGGCCGAAACTCAGCTGCCACCCTTTCTGAGGAAGGGACCTTGCCGCCACCTCCAGAGGGCAGCCTTTCCAAGCCACAGTTTTCCGATGACTAGAAGTGAGCGATCATGGCCTGTGACCCTTGGCAATCCGCCTTCCCCTGCAGCCTCTCCAAATGTCAGGGACCAGACACCTGCCATGCCTAGTTACAGCCCTGTGAAACCCCTGACAGTGAGTGTGCCTTTTCCCGCAGGGATTAAAGACTTCATGTGTGAGTTGTGCGGGAAGACTTTCAGCGAGAGGAACACGATGGAGACCCACAAGCTCATCCACACAGGTGAGGGGGTGTGGCCAGGGTGGGTCCCAGGGGGGCGGAGGGGATGGCTGTGTGGCCCTGTAATGTGTCTGACTGTTGGGGGATGTCTGGTGCCATCCTGCCTCAGTGGTAGCCCTCTGCCCCCTAAGCATCAGCCTGATACAGTCTCTAGATGTCTGGTCTGGGACTTTCAATCACTGGAGCAGTGACACAGCTCCGCACTCAGGGAGGGAGAAGACCAGTCATACTTGTCTCGGGCTGACCTGGGGGGCCGTCTTGGCAGCACGTGCAGGGGGAGGCACCCTCCCCGCCTGTCCTGCAGGCCTGTGACAGCCTCACTCATGGCCTGTGCTTGTCTTTTCCTCCTTGTGTGTGTGTGTGTGTGCGTGTCTGTGTGCAGTGGGCAAGCAGTGGACGTGCTCCGTGTGCGACAAGAAGTACGTCACCGAGTACATGCTGCAGAAGCACGTGCAGCTCACCCACGACAAGGTGGAGGCGCAGAGCTGCCAGCTGTGCGGGACCAAAGTGTCCACCAGGGCCTCCATGAGCAGACACATGCGGCGCAAGCACCCAGAGGTGAGCGTCCTTCTCTCCGCCCCCGCCCCGCCCTCTGCCCCGGGCATGCCCCTGCCATCCCCGGACACCGCCACCTGGCTCGTGGATCTGTCTCCCCTCGCAGACCCAGACCTCCCGGAGGCAGGGCCTGGGTCTCACGTTCCCTCTGACCGCAGGGCCGGCACGTAGGAGGGAGGCACTGAACAAGTGAGCAGAAGAGCCTCGCCTGGCGTTTGCTCAGGCTATAAATTAATTGTCCCCGGAGTTACTGCAAGACGGAAGTACAGCCCTGCCCCGTTTCCCCCATTCTTCCCTCTGGAGAGACGAATAAAATGTGCAGAACAGGGAGTGTCCAGGTGGTGTTGGGGGCCGATCTCCAGGTGGCGTTGCGGACCCAGAGGGAGAAATTGTAGAGGCAAGAAGACCTGGCTTGCCTAGAAGCTTGTACTAAAAGAAGGTCCAGGACATTAAATAATTCATCCTGCTTTAAAAAGAAGCAAACTGAAAAATAAAACTAGCAGGACGTGCAGGTAAATAGCTCTCAGATCACCGAAAGGGAAAGGCTCACCCTGCATAAAAGCAACAAAAGACCTCTCGAACAAAAACACCAGTAGATTTGACTACATAAACACCACCACACCTGGAACCGATGTAGCTAAAAGAACACGCAGAGGGCAGACTGGGAACGTGGGAGATGTCACTGCTGCTCACAGGCACCGCCTTCACTGGCAGAGGGGCAGCATTCGGTGAGAAGAACGCGCGCAATGCCACGTGTGCAGTAGGGCGGTTTGTGAGAGGGAACACGCGAGGGGAAGGAGCAGGAAGAAGCACTCATCGAGTTGAATCCCACAGACGCAGGTGCTGATGTAGCAGTGCTGTCCCCACCCACCCGCTGAGCAGGAGGGTTTTAGATTCGAAGTGACCATGTTGCTGCACGAGCCAGGCCCTCTGCGGTCGGGGTCCTCTGGGGGCAGCGTGACGTGAGGGATGATCCTCTGGGCGCCTCCATGCCACGCACGAGGAGTGGGCTGAATCAGTGTCAGCTTAGCCACATGCTTGACTCTGTGAACAGAATTCTGAATAAACCTGTGGGACGCGTGTTGTAGCAAAAGCAGGATGCGCTGCGCGAGTGTGCACAGCGCACCTCGTCCGCACCCGAGTGTCTGCAGCACTCGCCTTGACAGTGTTAGTGGGACGGGTGGGCGAGGCCAGGAAGGAAACAGCACACACAGCGTTTTCTCCCTCTGGTGAGGTCACAGGTCACGCTCTGCTCCATGCGGACACACTCCTCGGAATGACGTTAGCCACTTTTGCCGTCACAGGAGCACAGTCTGCTGCATGTGGGGGATACGTGCAGGGTCCTCGGCGCCCATGCCGGCAGGGCAGGGTCACCAGCCCTCCAGTCCCTGGAGGTGCCCGCATCCTCTGGTGCGCGGCGCTGGGGTCCCCTCGGAGCTCTCCCTGCTTTCACCCGGAGAAACAGTCCCGAGCAGGACGCCAAAGTGCCGGCACTCAGGGTGGCCCAGGGTGGGGGGGTGGCCAGGGTGGGGGGCTCCAGGCAGGCGCTGCGGACGCCTCCAGCGGCACCCCAGGAGTTGGGCAGAGCCCTTTTTTCAGCCTGCGGGTCTCTGTTCTGGGGGTTACGCGCGTGTTCGAGTCCACGTCTGCTGACTGACTGGGTGCTGCTGGGTGGAGAGAGGCCTGGCACACACAGAGGGGCTCCGCAGGGGTCTGTCCACCAAGTCCTTCTGCGGGGATAATGATCACTTCTAAATGGATCGCTCCACAAGGCTGCCTTTTGTGGCCGCGACTCAGACGGGGCAGTGCGCCCCCAGCACCCACTCCTCGCTGGGCAGATCTGGCTTCCGGAAGGGGACGACAGGCAGATGAGGAAGGGGAAAGAAAGTGCCTCGGTGACTCATCTCTCGTCAGCTTCGTCCTCGGCCCCTTCGGTCTCAAGCCGGTAGCCTGTCCTCTCTGGGCTCTCCTGGGTCGTTTCGCTGGCCTTTCATTCTATATTGGTGCGGACGAACGCATCGTCAACGCCCACTAGTGGTGAGCGGTGTGGGGCCAGCCAACCAGGGCGAGCCCCGCCCTCCTGGAGGTGCCAGTCTTGGGTGGGAGCAGAGGGAACAAGGAAGTAGGCAGGCCGTTAAGTAGTTACAGGTGATGGGGGAGGAGGCGATACCCGACGGAGAACAAGGCAGGCAGACGGTGACGGTGGGGCCGGCAGAGACCCGGGGAGAGGGTTTCTCCGCTGCTGCGGTGTGAGGCCAGCTGGGTGCTGGTGTCTGTGGGCCTCACAGCCGGCCCCACAACTGCGCGCAGGCTCAGGGCTGTGGGCCGCTGGAGGCGGACTCAGGTTCGGGTGCTGGGCATGGACGACTTCCATGTGTTCGGGATCTTTTAGACTCGATGCCGTATGACGGCTTCAGCCTGGGATTGTTGTGGTTTGAGTGAAGGTTACATTTTAAAAACTAAGGCACGCAGAAACAGTTTCCATTTACGGTCTTACCTCCTAACGAGAGTAAAGCCAGGGCACGCGTCTGTGGTTGCTGCTGTGTGGCATCAGTTTCCGGACTGTGTGACTAGGACCCTGGTGATGATGATGTTGATGATGAAGGTGGTAGGTGCGGTCGTGGTGGTGGTCATGCTGGCAGTGGTAGGAAGCACGTCAGTGGCCCCTGGCTGCTTTTCCTCGGTCTCACAGCACCCCAGTGACATGCGGGTGCTGCCGTCGGCATTCCCGTCCACCTGAAACGCGCCCCCCCTTGTTCGCTGACCTGTCAGGGACGGCGCCAGCCTGTCACCCGAAAGCTGCTTCCCCGTCGTCCTTTTTATGCAGGCCACACCCACAGTGTGGAGTCTGTGACTTTCCATCTTTGCTTTAGTTGAGCAGAAATGTAGGCACTTGCGAAGCTGGTGGGATGCGGAGCCCTACGGGCAGACTGCCGCGGTCCCCCGTCTCGTGCACCCTCCACGGCCGGTCTCCCTTTGTCAGCAGCTCACCTTCATTGCGCCCTTTTGGAGGGTTCATTCTCTCTCTGCTCACGTGTTCCATGGCCTCCCGCATGACTTGATTCACTTAACTAATCACAGTAGCAGGGACGAAAATCAGGGCAGGACCTGGTGACCGGCGGGAGGGACACGTGGGCACGTGGGAGGGAGGGAGCACAGTGAGGCGTCTGCGCCCTCAGGGCCGGGCAGTGTGGCTCCCAGAGGGAAGGTGGGGGAGAAGGTACCCACCCATGGGGAGAATTGAAGAGTAAAGTGTTTAAGGCATAAAGATCTCAGTTTTGGTAATTCCTTGTGGGACACGGATTTGAAACAAGATTCACTGAAATTTTACTGACTGAAAACACATTAGTATGGGAAAAAAAGGGGAGCAAATACAGTGTGCCCCGCTCGGGCATTGGTGGGTGGGCATGAAGTGAGGCTTAGACGGTTTCGGGGGACACCCTCCACCCGCAAGAGCATCGCAGGTGCTCGCAATGAGGGCACGCAGTACGAGGGGAGTATGGGCCTGTGTGGGATTCCGGAAGCGAGGTTCCAAGGTCAGTCCCTGGCGGAATTGGTTCGGAAACACGGGGACGCCCGTGAGGGACTACGGAGAGTTGTCCCAGCTCACCACCCTGCACTCTCCCACAGGTCCTGGCCGTGAGGATTGACGACCTGGACCACCTCCCAGAGACCACCACCATCGACGCCTCCTCCATCGGCATCGTGCAGGTGAGCACAGAGCGGCCCTGGGAGGCGCCGTCCCCCGGGACTTCCAGCCTCACACTCTGTCTTTTTGTTCCGTCTCCCCCCCAAGAGCCTTTTAGTTTCCGTAAGCTTCTAGAACTTTAAGGAATCAGCTCCTGTGATATGGAGGCTGGTAAGTTTGAACCGTGCAGGCCAGAGGACAGACTGGACACCCAGAGAAGGGTCAATGTCACAGCTGAAGCCTGAAAGCTGAGGGAGGCAGTTCCCTCCTCCTCCAGGGACCACAGTCTGTTCCAGTGAGGCCTGCACCTGATTGGATGAGGCCCACCCTGAATGTAGCGGGCGTCTGCTTTACGCAGTGTCGCCGATTTAAACGTTACTCTCACCCGCAGAACCTTCACAGCCCCTTCTGGACTGCAGTTGCACCAGACAAGTGGCCTCCTAGCCCAGCCGAGCTGGCACTGAAGGTTAACTATCGCTGATGGTTTCCAGGAAAACTTGGCGTGATTAGATTGATGAGAAGACTCACTTTAAATGTATTAGATGAACTTACTTTTTAAAGGGACTTTTAGTCAACATCCTTATAAAAATTTCCTTTTACTATAAAGAGAGCATGTCTCACTCGAAGCTATTTCGAGATCACCTGAAACCATTTCAATGGTGTTTGCAGCACGGTGCTCGGGCGCTGGCTTGGGCTGTGTGGGCACAACAAGGCCAGCGGTGCCCCGGAGGCCACTGCAGCCCTGATGCAGTGATGGCCGTGCCCTGGCGGGCTTCCTCCGGGTCTCTCTGCCACTGCATCAGATCGAGTCCTGTGGTATGGCGCCAGAGGTCCAGGAGGGGGCTGGATGGCCAGAATGGAGTGCCCTGCTGGCCACCACTGCCCACTGGCTGCTGTGACCCTGCACGAGCCCTGTGTGGGTCACAAGCCTGGCCACAGTGCCCCAGCTCCCAGAGGACTGTGGGTGGTGGGTGACACCATCTGGGATTGCCGTCATGGCTGGGCCCCATTTGCTGTCCCCAAAGGAGATGACTGTCCAGTTCTTGTGGTGAAACGCGTTTTGATCCAAGATTGATTCGGGGGGTGAGAGCCTGATGTGGAGACATTTTCAGCCTCAGGCCGAGCTTGTCAGGGTTGAAACAGTGGCTTAAAATTTTTGTTTTTTAAAATTTGTGTTTATATATATTTCAGCACAAAATATAGCTTTTAAAAATATGACTAGTAGGTACTTTGCTCCATTTAACCACAACTCCTGAAACTCCATCAGTCTTTAGAAATGCAACCAAGCAGATAAGCTGTGGTCACTCTGTTTCCTGTGGCAGCTCGGTGACCCAGGAGCCTCGCCACTGACCCCGGAGTGTGTCCGGGGCCCATGCTGGGACCAGGACTGTCACCATGGGGTCACGACCCCACTGACCCACATGGTGCTGACACTTCTTTCCCTGCAGCCGGAACTGGGCCTGGAGCAGGAGGGCTTGGCAGAAGGGAAGCCAGTGAAGGCCTCCAGGAGGAGTCACAAGAGGAAGCAGAAGCCGGAGGAGGAGGCGGGGCCCCCGGTGCCCGAGGACTCAGCCTTCAGCGAGTACTCAGAGAAGGAGCCCGCGTTCACGGGCGGCGTGGGCGACGAGACCGACTCTGCGGTACAGAGCATCCAGCAGGTCGCTGCTTCCCGTGCTGGAGTCAGGGCCCAGTGGCGAGGGGCGGGGGCGCACCGCAGGTGCTGCTTCCTTCCCTGCCTGACATGCCTGCGGGTGCCGCCAGCGCACGTCCCATTGTCCACCTCAGCATCCTTGGGGGGACCCAGAAATCGCACCTGTCACAGGGACTGGCAGCATGACCTTCTGGGTGTTAAGGAGAGCCAGCCACTCTGGCTGGGAACTGGGAGATTGTCAGTGGCCTAGGTGTGTCCCTTCGTGGAGGGCGTGGTCCCCTTGCATCTGCTGACCAGTCAGGGACAGCGGGCCTGCAAATGAAAGGAGCTATCCGGGGAGGGTCAGAGGAAGGGGAGGACGCGTGGCCTGCCAGTCTGCTTCCCCTGATGGAATCTTCCGGTGGCTCAGCCGCCATCGCTTTGGTTCGGGGCCCCCAAATCTTTCATCAGTGTGCATCTGATGCTGCGCAGACATCCGCGTTGACTTGCCCTTCCATCCTGTGCATGAGAAAGAAAGCCGCTTTCTTCGTGGCTCATCAGCGGTTGGCACTACAGAGTTGCTCATCGGCCCCGCAGCTTTCTAGTTGGGCCTGAGCAGTGAGCTTCAGAGGACTGAATGTGTAGTGAAGACGATGCTCTGTCTTTCTCACTGTGGCTTTCCTCTGACCTCCTCTAGCCAGGGAAAGAGTTTGTTTCTCATTTCTACCCAGTGGCCTCTGTGATGGCCTCTGTGCCTTGTTTCTGTTTTCACTGGAGTTGTTGTTTCAGGACAAATTAACCTGATTTGTTTGCCCAGAGGGGCTTTGCCCCTCCCCTTTGGCCATGTGATTACTCCAGCATGATAGCACCGCCCATGTCTGTTGCTCTTCATTTCACAGCGACTGTTTAACTGTTTTACATTGTCTCTGGCTCTTCCAGGTGGTGGTGACTCTCGGTGACCCAAACGTGACCACTCCATCCAGCTCAGTCGGCTTGACCAACATCACCATGACGCCCATCACCACAGCAGCCGGAACCCAGTTTACCAACCTCCAGCCAGTGGCTGTTGGACACCTCACCACCCCGGAACGTCAGCTGCAGCTGGACAACTCCATCCTGACCGTGACCTTTGATACGGTCAGTGGCTCCGCCATGTTGCACAACCGCCAGAACGACATCCAGCTGCACCCCCAGCCGGAAACTTCGAACCCGCAGTCCGTGGCCCACTTCATCAACCTGACCACCCTGGTCAACTCCATCACGCCCCTGGGGAACCAGCTCAGTGACCAGCACCCACTCACGTGGCGGGCAGTGCCACAGACTGATGTGCTGCCGGCCCCGCAGCCGCAGGCCGCCCCCGCGCCGGCAGCGCAGCCCCAGGTGCAGGCTGAGCAGCAGCAGCAGATGTACAGCTACTGAGACACCTGGAGGACTCGCAGAGGGAACCTCAGACAGGTTCCCTTGTTTCTGGTTCAGACGTGTTTGCTGGATACCAAACAGAGAAAAATCATACGTTGCAATGTAAGTGAGGTGGACTTAGTTTTTGCAGAATTATCTCCAAATCCCCCAGCAACTGTGATGGTCTGCCAGCCTGATTTGGGAAGTGACTCCTGGCAGGCCGGCTGTAGGGGCCAGCAGGTGGCAGGCGCTGGCTCAGCCAGGCCACTTGTCAGCCAGGGCTGTACCCTGCCCTGCCCCCCGCATTTCCCAGCCAGACTGGGTCTGGCATACACGGGCTTGGGGAAGCAAAACTTCGAGAGAAGCAGGAGCATCAGCGGCAAGCACTGTGCTGTCAGGAGCTGTTACCTGTCAGAACGCAGACAGTCTTCCATGTGGCACGCCAGCTACGGTGACAGCTCTCTCCTCGGGATGGCTTCTGCAAGGGAGCCGGCAGAAGCTCAAGTCACACGCGTCCCTTCTCCGACACCCGGGTTGAGTGGGCTTTGTTTCACAACTCCAGGTGGAAACCGGGGGTGAGCAGATGGTCCAGCAAGCCCGCAGCCCTCCACTGCCCTCAGGCTCGTCGCAGGCAAGGGGCACAGGAGTTCTGACTCGGGCGTAAAGGCGTCTTAGGAATTTAATTCGTGAATTGATTTTCAGGACCGTGTTTTCACTTTTTAAGGAACTTTATTTCAAGCACATGTTAGTGTATTGGAGACTCTGTAGTGGCCATGTCGTTTTTACGTTTGAACGTGCTGAAGTCATTTGCACTGTAGGACTGTCAGTCCATGTCCATCCCACGCAATGTCCCGGAGCGCAGGGCCCCACCGTTGTGTGTGGCGAGGTGGCGCCTTGCTGTCTCCGCTCCGTGGCACCTGCGGCGTGGATGCCTTGCCGCCACATGTGTTCGTTGTGACCGGGACTCGCCAAAGTCCTCTGAACTGAAGAACGGGGAGGAAATTCACCTTTCTTTCTGGTTCAACTTTAATCCCAAAGGTCGGTGTGGTTACAGACCACTTTTCCGTGACTGCTGAGTAAGCTGGGAAAGCCTCGCTTTCCTGAACTGTGGTGGAGCCGCCATGTCCCCCGGGCAGCGACGCCAGCAGAGGTTCGTTCACCGGGAGCAGTGTCGATACCCCTATGAGTGTGCCGAGAGACAGCCAGCCCGCTCCCCTGGGGATGCCGCTGCCGTGTGTGTGTGTGTGTGTGTGTGTGCGCGCACACGCGTGCGGCTGAAACACACAGGAGCCAGCCGCCTGCTGTGCAGCTAGGAACACAGAAAGAAGTGTGATTTTTTTTCACTCCCCTGATGTTTTTTTTTAACGACGTCTAAAACGAAATGATAAATTTGCCTTATTTTGTCCTTGATTGCTCTTTGTCCCCGACCCCGCACGACGTGGGAGGCCGTCTTGAAGAAACACTGAGTACGAGTCAGTAGTGGGTGAGCAAGGCCGGAGTGACCTGACATTGCCAACCAGGCTAAGGACGATTTGTTATGCAAGAGGATTTTCTCAGCACTTCACTTTGTTCCAACGTGGAAGATGTGAGGGCAGGGCTAGGGTTTGTTCTGTGCAATACACGCCTTCGAGACCCGAGGAGCGCCCTCTCCCAGGCGGCCCGGGAAGGGGGCGTCCAAGGTCCCGTCCCTCACACGGCTCGTTCACACACTCGCGGCTCTCACCTCCGATGAACTAATTGTGGGAGATTGTTTGACTTTTTAATTTATGATAATTATTTTTATGTTATTTATGTATATAATTAACTGCTTTTTACATAATAGATTCGTCAAAGGGATTTTGGTGAGGGGTGATAGGTTTTCTAAAATATTGTCTCCATTCTCCAACTAGAAGGGGCCAGGTGTCTGCAGAGTCATCCAGAACGCCAGGGGTGCCTGAAGTCTGTTTTTAATCACTGACAATTTCTTTTTTGCATTTGCAGAATAGAAAGTGTGGATGACCAACTAAGAAAATCCAAACATGATTGATTAAACACCCGTTATTTATCTTTTATTCTTCTTCCCTATGAAATAAAGGCCTTTTAAATCACAGTTTTATTTTTTTAAAAAAGTTGTTTTTGTGCCAAGAGTAAGAATGCATTAAATGTTTTTAAGGAACCTAATTTACGTTATGTGGCCCAGTGAACAACCTCTGTTTATTTAAATAACGGATGCATAAGAATCCTTCTTGTTACAGTAAGTGAGAACTCCAAATAAAAATGAAATTTACTCCCAAGTTTCCCGTGGATGTGTTTGGCCTTCTTGGGGTGACTGTGTCGGGCAAAGTGGCGTCAACTTCTTGTCTGCAGGCAGCTGCTCTGGGTTCGAGAAGCCGGGGAGCAAGAACACCGGGTCCTGCCCAGCCACGTGTCATTGCCTCCGGGTTCTTCTGCGCCGTTGTCCCTGTCTGCTGGCGGAAATGTTGACGTTTTCAACTGAGCCCAGGTGCGCAGCTGCGTCCATGAGAAGAAACCAGATCAAGCCTCTGTGGCCACCGGGCTCTGTGAATCCATCTTGGTTTTTCTGAATTAGTCAATCAGGAGAATGTGTTTCGGGCCTGTGACTTCGTAACGTTGTGCAGTTCTGGGCCACTGGCGACGTGGAGCTTGCCCAGCTGCACCCCAGTTCAGACGCCTGCGTTTGTCCGAGCTCCGTGGCCAGGAGGGGACTGTCTCTGGGATGTGTTCTCAGGGCCAGGGGCCACCTCCCTGGGTGCCACAGGAAACGGCTTTGGAGGTAGAAGATCTGGGCGTGGGAGGCAGATTCACGGACTTGGCTCGTTTTCTTTTCTGGCTACCACGTCCAAAGGTGGAAAGCTCGTGGCTTCCCTGCTGGAGGCAGTTAGTGACTTTTGAAAGGTGATAAGATTGGAGAAGTTGGGTATATTTCATGTCTTATCAGTTTGTTTAATGACAAATAAAAGGTGCTGTGACCTGTGTTTTTCAATCACTGGCCCTCTCTCAAACTGCCTTTTCCAAGTAATTGATTGATTTTGTGCATTTCGAGAACAGTTGCATTTCCTGTTGCCAGCAATGACATTTTGACTTCTCTGCAGTCTGGAACCCGCACAATGCTTGGATCACTTGAAATGTTCAGTGAGGTCTCTGAAGCTTTCCCCGCAGTTCGATTCCCAGCCCGGGCACATGCCCAGCTTGCAGGTTTGGTCCCAGGCCGGGGTGCGTCCGAGAGGCCATCAATCAGAGTTTCTCTCCCTCCCCCTCTCTCTGAAATCGATAAGCCTGTCCTCGGGCGATGATAGAAGTGAGGATAGGCACAAGGAAATAGGAGTAGTCAGAGGGGGAAACTTAGTTCCGGCACTTCTTTGGGCCGGTGGTCTGGAAGGAACCCTTAAGGATCAAATATTGTATACTCTGATTTGTTAGGATGGCCAGTTTAAAGTAATGAGACACCTGAAATTTCATCCAACCTATTAAGGACTTGAGCTCAAAATGTTGCCGTAGACACTTGAGTCATACTGTCCACAGCATCAGGTGGGGGCTGATCTGGCCACATCCCACACACTGAGCACCTCCTCGCAAGCCAGGCCTGCGTGGTTCCCGCACGCGGTCAGCCTTCAGGAGCTTCCACAGGGAGTGGCGGCGGCGGGTGCTGTTCATCCACTCGGCTCATCCACACCCTGTGCTGCTGGTGAAGTCGGGTCTCCAGGGAGCGGCGCACTCCACCGGCAGCCATGTGCCGCACCCACCCACGCACTGTCCCTTCTCCCGCATTAGAAACCAGTTCCAACAGAGAAGGGGGGTGGCTGGGCCACTGGCTGCTTCCTCTCCTCAGTTTTTGTGTCTGGCTCCAGCACATCAATATCAAAGGGGTCCTTGTTTTGCACTGTCAGTGATGTGATGACTCGTGGGGTGATGCAGCCAGCGCAGTTGTCCAGATGGGGCCACAGTTGCCCAGACAGAGCAGGCTGGGCCCAGCACCCCCGCCCAGCCCCGCTCCCCATGGAGCTGAGGCTTCGCATCCACACGCCACAGTCCCGGGGGCAGGTGGCGGGTGTTCCCAGAGGACACCTGAAGTGCCTTGCTCCACACCCACCTGCCTGGGAGCCACGCGGCCTGCTCTCCCCGTGGACAGACGGGTCAGCTTCCCACAGTTGCTCTGAAAAGCGGGAAACACATGGGGGAAGGTGTCCTTTCCACAGCACATAGGCCCACCTACGTTTTTTGGGGTTTTTTTTTTTTTTGAGATTTTATTCATCTTTAGAGGGGAAGGAGAGAGGGAGAGAAACATCAATGTATGGTTGCCTCTGGTGTGTCCCCTGCTGGGAACTGGCCTGCAACCCAGGCATGTGCCCTGACTGGGAATTGAACCGTGACCCTCTGGTTTGCAGGCCCGCGGCCTACCTATGTCTTAATAGAGAGCCCAGCCGAGCACACTTCCCCGGAAGGGGGAGAGTGGAGAACCCACACACACTCTGCACCTGCGACGTGAGGCCTGTCTCACTCAGGGATGTCCAGCTCCTCCTGAACGCTGCTGAGTCACCACCTCGTGTGACAATCTGGAGTGTGACCTGGGCTCCAGAGCATCTCTCCTGTCCTGAGTTTCGCCCACAAAGATGGGACCTTTAGCAGGTGAGTAGGCGGCCCTCATGAATGGGGTCAGCGCCCTTCCGAAGGAGACCCCAGAAAGCTCCCTGCCCCCGCCCCCAGGGAGGGCAGCGGGAAAGCGGGCCTTCACCAGACACGACATCTGCCGACACTTTGATCTTGGACTTCCAGCCTACAGAAGTGTGTAGAAAGACATTTGGGGTAATTTTTAATAAGCCACCCAATCGATGGTAACCTGCGACAGCAGCCCGGCCGAGGGACTGAGTGTGTATGCACGTGAGTGTGCGTTAAACGCACAAGTTCGCCGGTGTCGGTTTGTGCGTCTGCCCCCTCGTCAGCGTACCAAGTGTGCCGTTTTTGAAGGTGGGCTTCCTTTCCCTGCGCAGAGCACCCCCGAGGTCTGCCCAAGCTGTTTGCTCCCTCTGAGTGCGGACTCTGTGGTGCGAGGTACCCCAGGTTGTTGAGCCCCTCCCCCACTGAAGGGCTTTTTGAGTTGTTTCCAGTTCGGGGCCGTTGTGTATAAAAGCTGCTACAAACACTGGTGAATTCACATTTTGGGGGACGTAAGTCTCCATTTCTGTAGGATGAGTCCCCAGGATGAGTGGGGTGAGTGAACTGAAGGGTCAGCGTGTGGATTCATCCGGGGAACGGCTGTGGACCAGCCCGGCAGCCGGCGTCAGGTCGTCTCCGTGTGGTTTGTATTTTCCATGTAACTGGCGTCTTACGGTACCGAGGCGGTGAGACATATTCACGCTGCCGTCTAAGGGCAGAACTTCAAGTCTGAGATCCTGGCTTCGGGGAATTGGAAAAAGAGTGGGTCCCTCTCAGGCGCACGGCAGAAAGGAAGGGCACCCGCTACCTTTGACGTCAATCTGTGTTAACAATGTTTTTCCTAAGTGTTGGGAGAAACAGACTTCATGTCTCCCAAAGCTTTGAAGCACTGAAAACAAAAAGCTCCCCATTTGTTAAATCCAGTTGGAATCAGCACTTGAAATCTCTAAGTCTTCCCAAGACCTTTGCAAATCCTGACCTAGTGTGAGGCACCCAGGCAGCCGTCTTTCCTACCCTGCTGTCCCGGGACTTCCCACACCAGGCTGTTGGAGTCTTGGTGGATGAAATAAAGGAACAATGGAAGTTTCCAAACAATGCCACAGCGACAGCAGTTACCATGTCTCATATTCTTAGTACCCCAGTGTCCCTAGCAAAGATCTCTTTTACTGCACTTGGTTATTTTTTTGTAGTTTGGACGTCAGATGTTCTGGTCCTTTAGCCTCCAAGAGCTGAAACGTGTGTGACTCAATTGGCAGCTCTTAGGTGCATCATGGAAGCAGCAGTAAACATCTGTAACAGAAACAAACCGGCCTTGAATGCCCAGCTCATCTCGGGTTAGAGTAAGAAGAGTGATAGCTTCCGGAAGGGCCTCCTAGGACTTGAGCTCAGCTGGTCCCCTGCCGAGTCCTGAGTGGCTGTCATCTCCTAGTGAGATGACATGGGCTTTCTCAGCTGACGGGGAGCCTTGCTGCCGGGAGCTCCTACACACCACCATCTTCGTGAATCCGTGGTGCCCTGTTTGTGGAGCTGGGTCTCTTCCCTTGTGTGGAGAAGAGTGTCGGCACTTTTAGAGAAGCTGTGACTTTTCAGGAGCCGCCAGCCCCCTACTTGGGCCAGACAATTTTTTTCAGGAAAAGAACACCGACAAGGTTGCCCTACCTGGTGTGGCTCAGTGGACTGAGTGCCAGTGGATTGACCGAGAACCAAAGGGTCGCTGATTTGATGCCCGGTCAGGGCACATGCCTGGGTTGCCGGCCGGGTCCCCAGTAGGGGGCGCTCAAGAGGCAAGTACACATTGATGTTCCTCTCCCTCTCTTTCCCCTCTCTCTAAAAATAAATAAATAAATAAAATCTTTAAAAGAAAAAGAACGTCAAGGTAGACAGCCACGTGAAGGGATGTTCTCAGTCTCCTGGTGGAGAGCACCCCACCAGGATTCGTCAGGACGTTCCCCAAACGGCCAGCATCTAAATGTGATGCCAGTGAGTGTGGAGACTGCTTTTCTGACCGGAGACCTAAAAGCAACAACAACAACAAAATGAAATGCCTTCACTGGCTCCTAGCTGACTGTCCTGTGTGGCTCCCATCGCCCAGCCCTCCCACTCTGGCGGTAATCAACCCCCACCCCACCCCTGCCTTCAAGTGGCGTCAAAGTCTAAATAATTTAACCGATTATCCACCAGCCGCAGTCAGACTTCTGACTCTGCGGGGCTCGCCGGCACCTCGGGTTGGCAGGGCCAGCTGCCCCAAGAGCATCCACCCTTGGGGTGTGTGGGGGGAGGGGAGACAGCTCATTCGGGCTCCAGTGACGCAGCTGAGCCCGACAGCTTTTTCTTCAGCTAGGACCAGCTCAAATTTTTACAGCCTTGGCTGCGATCTGGTGCCATTACGCCAAGCCAAGAATAGAAACACAGGTTCACTTCCCCAGACATGGTTTATTTTGTTATTCATGCAGCAAGGGGAAGACATCTTGCAACACCACACAGTCATCCGAGTGTCCCCACCCAGCAGCACCCTGGTGTAGGGCCATTGAGGGCACTTCCTTTTGTTCTGCTCGTGGAAAACGACAACAGCACAGGTGGAGGAGAGCTGATCATAGGCTTGTGTCTCCTGACCTCTCAGGTTGTGGGCCCTCAGCCTCAGGGGCCCCACATATGGGCTGTGCCTTTCAGGGGTTATTGTGCATATTCTAGTCGAGGGTGTGTGTGTGTGTGTGTGACTGAAGTCTAGGGACCTAGAAACTCCAGATCACTTTATCTCCATGAACCTGGCTTCAGGATGTGGAGCTTTTCTGGAATCTATTGACTATTGATACAGTTCACAAAACATCACCGAGATGCTAACCTTTTAAAAGCCCTCACTTTTCCAGGATGGAGAAAATGATGATGTCACTTTCCTGTGACCTGACAGACAAACACTTCCCATGTCTCATAACTGTGGTGGCTTGTGTCTATCTACAGGAATACAGGGTGGCTCATGGGACAATGCACCACGGCCCTGGAAGGTCCTTTTGGACCTTTCCTGCTTTGAGCAACAAAACAGAGCCTTACAGGCCCCCGTACGACAAATGAAGCGAAGGGAACACCGCCCGCTGCTAACCTCAGGCTCTGTTGTTTGATGCACGTAAATACTACACTGGTTTTACGCAGTCAACTTCGTCTCTTGATCTTGTACAAAGAGAGTGCATTTCTGTGGTTGCATTTTCTATCTAAGCATATAATACACTTTGAATTTGATTTCTTTGATGATCGGGTTTTGGG